ACTCTCATAGTTGAGGTATACCTATGATGAAAACTACAGGCCTCTCTCATCCTTTTAAGTGGGAGAACTTGCACAATTGGTGGCTGACTAAATACTTTTTTGCCCCACTGTAATGTTATAAGAGTTGATTTGGAACTTGCACAATTGGTGGCTGACTAAATACTTTTTTGCCCCACTGTAATGTTATAAGAGTTGATTTGGAACTTGCACAATTGGTGGCTGACTAAATACTTTTTTGCCCCACTGTAATGTTATAAGAGTTGATTTGGTCTGTGACTCAATACAGCTTGTTTTAACTCTTGTAAAATTCCCTTTTGTTGTATTGCTTCTGTTTAAGAGGGAACAGTGTTGCAACTCAGGCAGTCTAAAGGATTTAAACACCAGAATTCTACAGTAAGAGTTTAATGGGTTTTGAAAAGATTGTGGAACAGTTTCACAATTTTGCCTCACATACCAAAATGAGAGCTCATCTATACATTCTTCTAACTGCAGCATAAAGACAACCCACAAACTATTTTTAGATGATGTGTCCTCATGAGGAAGCCTAAATTTGTCCTCAGCTGTTGCACTTTTAAAATAATGTTTTCTGTTGTCTTCTGGCATACAAATAGTTTGCAACACCTCTTTCATGATCTTGGTGATGCTGCTGTGAAGGGTTAGTTCTGTACAGGGAAGTGTGATCCAGTCAGAACTAAAGATGCTCTTTCTCTGGGAATGGATGGCTTCTGAATCTAAACCCACTTCCATCTTGCTGGGATTAAGCCTAGGTCTGTTCCTGCCTCTAACAGTCCCAAACGCTGTGACAGCACCTCGATGGTATCACCTTTTTGCCTGAGGTTGATACGTAAAACTGGGTATCACCAGCATACTGTGGATACTTGACTATAGTATTGATGGATGGCCTTGCCTAGCAACTTCATGTAGATGCTAAATAGGAACAGAGAGTACTGAGAATTCTTGACCCAGCCCCTGGTCACCTCCCTGTGTAATGCCTGACCCATTCTTTGCAAAGCAGCATTCAGGTACTGTGTGAACTCCTTATATGCCCTGGTATACCAGCTGTCTGGAAGATCACTAGACTTGTTATTAATCACACATTCACTAGTGTTTCAAAAGATCAGTCAAGCTATCTATAAAAAAACAGGGCTGCAAGTTGATTTAAACTGTGAGAGTTGCTTTTTTGGTTCTGCCCCAAGGACTGCATTAAAGTTTTTCTGCTGTTTCTGCAAGAGCCATTTTTGTATGGCACTGTCTTTGAATGTTTTCAATCTTTTGAAAGGGAGATAGTGCCATTTTTTCCTGTTCCAGCACTATCTTGCATGTATGTGTGTGGGATACTTGAACATGCTGCTGTCTACAAACACTAACTGCCAGCATGGCCATTCATTGCAGCAGAAGCTGGGGTAAAATTGATGAAGTGTTCTGCAAATTTCCCCTTCTGCCCAAGTAACTGAGGCATGCTATCCCACCTCACTCTCCTCCAGAAACCACTCCTAATCACTCAGACACCCGCCACCTGTACTCATCCAAGGCCACCCCAGCACATATTGAGACTGGTTGGGTGGTGGTTTTTCTTGTTGGCAGCTAACACTGGGTTAGAGGAAAAACAAAGCCAAGGGAATCTACCAAAACTAACTTTAAGTTGTGAGACAGTAAAGCTGCATGAATGGGGTCACTTATAATAAGACTTACAAATCTTGTTATTAAGGGAGGTTAGAGTTTAGCTGTCAGTACAGCATAAATTCTGCTAACATATTTTTCTGTTGACTCAGAGCAAATTAATACAGATAGTCCTCGTCTAATGACCACTATTGGGACCGGGATCTCGATTGTTGAGTGAAACGGTCATTAAGTGAGATACCCACAGGACTGCTTCACTCAACGACCACAATCCAGGCACTCCTGGTTGCAGTCGTTAAGCAGTCTCCTGGCTCATTAAGAGTGAAAGAGCCATGTGGAGCTGAAATCTTCCTGGCAGGCAGCTCTTTGAGAGTGAAAGGGCTGCTGCCAGACGGTTTCAGCTCCACCTGGAGCTGAGATCCTCCCAGCAGGCAGTCCTCTTGCTGTCAAACCCTAAAGCCTGCTGAAGGGTTTGCCCTCCCCTCCATTGATGGAGGGGAAATCCTTTGTGGGGCTGGAGGAATGGAGCTCAGATCTTCAGGATCTGAACTCTGTTCCTGCACACCACTGAGAGGTTTCCCTGAAAATTTGACTATATTCCTGCACACCATTAAAAAGCTTCCACTCCCCCCTGCGGATGGAGGGGAAATCCTCCAATCTTGCAAACCACCGAGAGGTTTCCCTTTGTCCTCTCCACTTGCAGCCTTCCCTGCATTGACTTTCTGGGGAAGCTGGCAGAGAAGTTTGCAAATGGCGATCACATGATCATAGGGCACTTGGCAACCAGTCGTAAATGTGAACTGGTTGCCAAGTGCCCAAAATGCAGTCATGTGACTGCGGGGGGGGGGTGCACCATTTTACGATGGCCAGAAGTGCTTTACGGGCCATAAATCACCGTTTCTGAGGCTGTTGTAACTTTGAACTGTTGTTGAACAGTCATTACTGGAGGACTACCTGTATGGTCATGGGGAAGAATTCAAAGTGCAATTTGACCAATAGCAACCAAATACTGATTAAAAAGCTTTTAATGTTTTTTTCCCCCTTGTTATTCCTACTTTGAAATTATTTACTCATTCTGAGTTATGTTTCTCTGTCAGTGTTGTTCTTAGCATCTTATATCTCACCGTTGTTCCCAGAAGCAAAAGATGCAAAATACTTGAGTTAGTCCCTCATTGTATTACTATCACAATTATCCTGAGAAGCTGAGAAACTCTCATGATTCAGTTTGTTACTGGAAATCAGTTTTTTTTGTTTATATCCTGAAATTGTAGAAAAATGGAAGGAATGAGAATTCTAAGTGCACAAGAACATACTCTGTTAACCCGTTTCAGCCTGGTACATGCACATTGCTATAGTACCAAGAAAAACTGTGTTATGTTTTACTGTTCCTAGATTGACATTACATTTCTTGCTCAAAATTGCGTGGATTAACATGATGTTTTTTTTTTTCCAGGAATTAAATACTATCTATTACTATCTTCATGGAATGGATATATTATCTCATCTCAGGGAGCATCAGTTAAGGTAAGGGTAGCTAGTCAATGGGAGTGGGATGCTTAGATATGCTATTACAAAGTCCATTTTATACAGCTAGATTTGCATAGCATGAATACTGTGATGTGTAGTATTATTTATTTTAATGGTTACTTTTAAAATGTTCTTTTAAGGCAAGAGAAAAAGAATTACACAATACAAAATATGCATTATACATGTTTTAAAGTTTTTGGAAATCTTCCGAAGCATGGAATACAACAACAAGTAAACAACTACAGAGAAGATTGAAATTAAAAACAAAACAACAACAAAAAAACCCCACCACTTCTAGGAGCAAATTAGCCAGAATCACTGGGTCTTATTTCTCGACAACTACAGGTAGTCCTCAACTTACAAGTATTTGTTTAACGATAATTCAAAGTTACGGAGGCACTGAAAAAGGTGATTTACCAGTCCTCACACACTTACAACTGTCACAGCATCCCCTCAGTCACATGATCAAAATTTAGGTGCTTGGCAACTGGCATGTATTTATGATGGTTGCAGCATCCTGGGGTCATGTAATCCTGGGGTCATTTGTAACCTTCCAACAAACAAAGTCGATGGGGAAAGCCGGATTTGCTTAATGACCACATGATTGCTTAACAACCGTGGTGATTCACTTAAAGACCATGGCAAAAATTGGGTGTGGCTCACTTAACAACTGCATCGCTTAGTGATGGAAACTCTGGCCCATTTGTGGTCATAAGTTGAGGACTACCTATACAATGTCCTGTAGGCTTCACTGGAAAAGAAGTAGGACTTCTATATTTGCTTTTTATGGTGGATAGTTATAATTTTTTAGGTACAAAAGAAGTCTCCTGACTTCTGGATGAGACTTTTTGCATGATCCTTTAAGAAATTGAAATGTTACAAAATCCAATATAGAAATTATTTTTTTAAATTGTCCCGGAATTCTAAAGATTGAATTCCTTCTAGGGATACTAGAAGGGTAGTGCATTTCTGCCTGGATTTTCTCAGCCTTGTTTTTCCAACTATGGAGTAGGCTTAATGGCTTTTGTATGTACTGATTATTTGTACAACAGTTGAGTTTTTCACTGAATTTTGTACAATTATGCTTGGTTTCCTCCTCCCGGGGGATGGATGTAACTGATTGTTAGGGGAGCCCCCGGGCCTTTGAAATTGAGGGGCCTGGAGGAAAAGATGATGTGGCCACTGGGGAGATCTGCGGAGGCCATAATATTATGGTGGTGATGGACATGGGAAAATCTGGTGGGAGACGAGTAGGCCGCCCCGGGGAACATGGGACCAATGTTTTATACCTGTTCCATTTTCCAGCTCCTTGGTCTCAGCTCTATACCCAGTCAGCAGACCATCAGAGGTCTTGGCTTCCGGCTGTCACTCTTAAATGCCAGGTTGGTGTGTAATAAAGCCTCCTTCATGTGCGATTTGATCATGGATGAGAGTGCCGACCTGTCATGTATTACCGAAACCTGGCTGGGCCTGGAAGGGGGGGGTGCCCCTCTTGGAGATGTGCCCAGCTGGGTTTTGAGTGTGGCACCAGCTGAGAACCTGGGGCAGGGGTGGGGTGGTGGGGTGGGGTGGAAATCGCTTACGGCTTTCAGGAGCGCTGCCCCACAGATTACTGGATGTGAGACCCTGTTCATTAAGTTGGGCTCTGGGGATCAGTTGGGACTGTTGCTATTGTACCAGCCTCCCTGCTGCATAGCAACCTCCCTGTCTGAGCTCTTTGATTCCATCTCAGGGTTGGCAGTGGAGTTCCCCAGACTTATGGTCTTGGGGGATTTTAATCTGCCTTCCCTGGGAGTGGGATCTGAGGTGGCTCAGGAGTTCATGGCCACCATGACGGCCATGGGCCTATCCCAGGTCACCCAGAGCCTGACATGGGACAGTGGTCACACACCAGATCTGGTGTTCCTGTTGGAGCAATGGCTTTGTGATCTGCAATTGGGAGAGTTGTTGGTGTCCCCCTTGTCATGGTCAGATCATGCCCTGATTACCATGGGATTCTCTGGTGCCTCTATCCACTGCAGGGAGGCTGGACCCATTAGATTGGTCCACCCCCAGTGACTGATGGATCTGGAGGGGTTCCAGAGGGAGCTGGGGGCTGTTCCTGCTGGTCTGCTGCATGGCCCATCTGAAGCCTTGATCCCTTGATGGGATCGCATGGATCCCATCACTCCCCATGGTTATGGAGGAGCTGAGGGAGATGAAACAAGAGAAGAGACATCTAGAGTGTCACTGGCGCTCATCTAAGAATGAACTTGACCAGACATGGATTAGAGCTGCTATTAAGGCTTACCAAGTGGTGGTAAGGGCGGCAAAGCAACACCACTCCTCCACCCTTATTGCATCCACAGACTGCTGTCCCACAACCCTGTTTCGGGTGATATGGGTCCTCTTGAGTACAGGGGCCTGGACAACCTTTTGCAGGGTCATGTGGAGGAATTTGCTTAGCATCTGTCAGATAAAATTGTTCAGATTCATTCGCAGTTGGACGCTGGCTTTGCTGCGGGTCTGTGGGAGATGCCTGGGGCGAAGTCTTGCCCAGTTATCTGGGAATGGTTTGAACCTGTTGGGTCTGATGAAGTGCACAAGGTCCTTAGGACTGTGAACTCAGCCACCTGCTTTCTAGATCCATGCCCCTCCTGGCTTGTAAAAGCACCCTGGGGGGTGTCATGTGGGTGGGTTCTGGCGATGGTGAATTCTTCCTTGAGTGAGGGGGTTGTTCCTGCACCTCTAAGGGAGGCTTTGGTTTGCCCCCTCTTCAAGAAGCCATTGCTGGATTCCACGATACTGGACAACTTTTTTGGGGGAAGGTGATTGAGAAAGTGGTTGTGCAGCAGCTTCAGAGGACCTTGGATGAAGTGGATTATCTGGATCCTTTTCAGTCAGGGTTCAGACCTGGGTATGGCACAGAAACAGCATTGGTTGCACTTTTGGATAATCTCTGGCGTGGGTGGGATGGTGGTTGTGCGTCCGTCCTTGCCTTATTTGACCTCTTGGCGGCTTTCGATACATCAACCATGGTATCCTTCTCATGACGACTCAGAGAATTGGGGATTGGCGGCATGGTATTGTGCTGGTTCGCCTCCTTTCTCCAGGGTTGGTTCCAGTCAGTGGTGATTGGGTAGGAGAGATCCCGCCCTCTGCTGTGTGGGGTGCCACAGGGGTCGGTGCTCTCACCTCTCCTATTTAACATCTACATGAGACCATTGGGTGAGCTCATCCATCGCCATGGGGTGAGGTATCATCAGTATGCTGATGATACTCAATT